TTTTCTTTTATTTTTTTTTTTTTCCTTTTCTTTTTCATTTTTTTCCTTTTTTTTTCTTTTTTTTTTTTTTTTTTTTTTTTTCTTTTCTTTTTTTTTTTCTTTTTTTTATTTTTTTTTTTTTTTTTTTTCTTTTTTTCTTTTTTCATTTTTTTTTTTTTCTTTTTTCCTTTTCTTTTTTTTTTTTCTTTTTCTTTTTTTTTCTTTTTTTTTTTCTTTTTTTTTTTTTTTTTTTTTCTTTTTTTTTTTTTTTTCAATTTTTCTTTTTTTCTTTTCTTTTCTCTTTTTTCTTTTCTTTTTTTTTCTTTTCTTTTTTTTTTTTTTTTTCTTTTTTTCCTTTTTTTTTTCTTTCTTTTTTTTTTTTTCTTTTTTTTTTTACTTTTATTTTTTTTCTTTTTTTTTTTTTTTTTTTTTTCTTTTTCTTTTTTTTTTTTTTTTTTTTCTTTTCCTCCTTTTTTTTTTTTTTCTTTTTTCCTTTCTTCCTTTTTTTTTTTTTTTTTTTTCTTTTTTTTTTTTTTTTTTTTCTTTTTTTTTCTTTTTTTTTTTTTTTTTTTTCCTTTTTTCTTTTTCAATTCTTCCTTTTTTTTTTTCTTTTTTTTTTTTTCTTTTTTTTTTCTTTTTTTTTTCTTTTTTTTTCATTTTTTTTTTTTTTTTTTCATTTTTTTTTTTTTTTTCTTTTTTTTTTTCTTTTTCTTTTTTCTTTTTTTTTTTCTTTTTTTTCCTTTTTTTCCTTTTCTTTTTTTTTTCTTTTTTTTTTTTTTTCTTTCTTTTCTTTTTTTTTTTTTTCTTTTTTTCTTTTTTTTCTTTTTTTTTTTTTTTTCAACTTAAGCTTATAAATATAACTTACCTGCACTGTTTTTTAAGAATATCAGACCTTTTTTAATTTCTTATTTAACCAAATAAATTTAAAACCAATAGTAACTTATGATTTATTGAAGACCAGCTTATAAACATGATTTCTGCATGTCTTATTGCAGTGGAAGTTGTCTTAAATTGTCAATACATAGGATATTTTTTGCATTTAAAAACCAAGACTTTTAAAGAAGAGACAAGTGCAAGGTTTCACAATAAAGATAGTGAAGAGTTAAGAGAAATATTTAGTAATGCTTAGAGGAAATTATCTAGTGCAACAATTTGATATATATAATAATTGTTATAATATTAATTATTATATATTATAATTATTTTACGCAAATTAAGATAAAAATTATAGAACTTGTGATTATCTTAATAGTTAAAATTATATATTGAAAGAAAATTTAGCTTAAGGTTTTTATAATATTTAGAGAAACTTTTCTTTTTTTATATATAATTTTTAAAACCTTTTTACTACCAGTAATAGTGAATCTAAAGAACACAATTGAGCCTTTAGATCAATTCCGCTCATCGGCATTAACATGAATTTAGTTAAAATCTTTTGAAAAAGTTCATTAATTTACTACTGATCCTAGTTCTAATTGGTTCTGATGTAAATTAACTATATATAGTTGTCAAAACACAATATTTCTATCAATTTTCACTAAAATTACTAGAATTCCGACCAAGAAAGAGCTTATAACTATGGAAAATTGACAATAAACGATCAGAACAGATCATATTGTTAAACCGTTCATTTCACCTGAAAAACATATTAATATAAAATCTCATTCAAATTTGGACGAGCGATTGTAATTTTAAGATGATTTAAAAAAAAAAAAAAAAGAATTTTCGGTCTGGGTTTTTTTGCAACAAACATTAATATTTTATAATACCGCAAAATTTATCATTTGAATATTTTTCACCTATTTATAATTCACAGACCAGACCATTTAACAGAAATATGTTTTAGTCAACAAAATATCATAGAAACGCTATAATATTTTAAAAGTGCCTTAACTAAAAGAGTATTTAATAACTTATTATTTAATAACTTATTACTTAATAACTTATTATTTAACAATTTATTTTTTAATATTTTATTATTTAATAACTTATTATTTGATAACTTATTATTTAATAACTTATTATTTAATAATTTAGTAAACTATTAATAGCTGTCATTTCTATACTTAAAATAATTAAACTTTTTTTATTGAATTTTTTTGTTTATTTTTTAGTTTTAATTAGGTGCTCCAAGAAATCTTTACGGTCTTATCACAAAGTACCACGGATAAGCATTTAAAAAGAAGTTCATACCCCTTTCCTAACGGATGTTGCAAAACTTGCGCAGTGGTGGGGTTTAAAAGATGGATCCTTTGTTTCTGAGGCACTACCACTGCGCTTACACTGTTTTTTACATGGTTAACATGTAAAAAAATGTTATAAACTTTATATGGTTAACAGGTAAAATTTATTTATAGAAGTGATTTTTTAATAAGCATTTGCTTGAAAAGGAGAAGGAATTTTCATAAGGGTTTTTGCAGTTATTTTTTTTTGAAATTTTATTGTGCCAAACTTATGATTCAATATATAATTATGAATTATCAAAACTAATGGAGGTGTGTTTTTGATATGATAATTTTGATATAATAATAATAATAATTCTTATAATTTGGTAAAAATTTTTTTTTTCAAAAGTCACTTTTTAGTTACAAACTTTTCGATTTAAAATTCACAACTACTATATAACACCAAATTTTATCTCATATCAAAACAAAATAGTGAGATAATAAAATCAATCTAATAAAAAAAATACAGGATATTAATAATAGTAATAACAACAATAACAGTAATAACAACAACAACAATAATAATAACAATAATAATAATGATAATAATAATAATAATAATAATAATAACAAATATAGTATCTATATTAAAATCTATAACAACCTTTTACTTTTTAAATAAATTTATTCATTTTAAAATACTCAAAAATAAACTTACAATGGCACCGCCACCATCTCCACCTAAATCAGGTAAGTCAAAAGAACCAATTGATTTAGCCCCGGGCTCAATTTGTTGAATAGTTATTAACCCAAATGGAGTTTTAGATTCTGTAGATGGCTCACCAATTATAAGAGTCTGAGCAACAGCCGAACAGATTATACTTTCTAGAGACAGTGAAAAAGACATAGAGCTCTTCCCCTATAAATAAAAAAAACATTTTTATATAATCAGAGATTTTGCTATGCTTCAGTGCCACTGTAGTAGTGGGAGCAACCTAAAAAATAATTTACTTCTTTATTCTAAAGAAAAACTTTAAAAACAGAAAAAAAAAATAGATATGCCTATTTTAATTGCTTCATTACATAATAAGTTGATTGCGGTTACATAATAAATTAATATAGTAATAATAATATTAACATACTAAATCTAAACAATATTAATTAATAAAAAAATATTAAGTTAATAAACTATTAAAAAAACATAAAAAATTAACTGTAGTACATAATAAATTAACTGAGCTCTATTATATTTATTACTGAGCTCTTGCATATTTTTTAATACTACAATTGATAATGACCATTTATAAGATATATTTACAAGTTGCTTGCTAATTAAATATATAACTCTTTAAATTGCCCCTTGGTTGTTCAAATATTGTAATAAATAATATTTTTAGTTTTAAGTATTTTACTTTAAGGATTGTCAATATATTACATAACGCAAAATTAAACTCATAGACAAAAGACATACCTATATATATATATATATATATATATATATATAGGTACATATATATATATATATATATATATATATATATATATATATATATATATATATATATATATATATATATATATATATATATATATATATATATATATATATATATATATATACATATATATATATATATATATATATATATATTTTATATATATATATATATATACATATATATATATATATATATATATATATATATATATATATATATATATATATATATATATATATATATATCAGTTGTATTGAAACAAACTAAAAAACTAACTAAACAAAGGATGGAGTCTAACTTCTTTCCCTTCTTGTTTCTTGTTCAAAATTGATCTACACGTTTTACAGAGTCCTTGTGGTACCCAAGCATCACTGATATTGATGTTTGTATATTCAATTTGCTTAGAAAGCAGTAAGCTGTCTCAACATTTTTTCAGACAGAACAAACATACAAATTTTTGATTTTCATTGAAAACCTTTGCTTGATTTGGCATTGTGACAACTTACTAAATCCAACTTGACTAAATCAAACTATCCCCTTTTACAAAATTTAACCTTAATATATATTGGATAACAATCCATTTATTAATCTACAAATTGATTATTGATTACAAACAATTTAAATCATGAAAATAATTACTTAAATTACAACAAATTTTTAAATAATTCTATAGGAAATAGCTATTTAAATTAATTACACTTAGTCATACTTACTTGACAAATTAAATGAGATTTTATTTGACAGATTCCTACTAAAGATTTTTACTTCAAAGGATTATTCTCCCTTTTATAAGATTTATCTGACCTTTCAAACATTTTATTTGTTTACTTATTTTATCTAAATTTTTTTAATTTTTTTATATAGGTATCTTTATTAAACATTTTAAAACACTTTTTAACAGATTTTATGCATTTTTACAGAAGCTTTTACTTTAGAAAATGCTGATACAAAACTTCCATATTTGGATTTAGGATCATGTTTAGGAAACTGGAAAATTGCCTGTCGTTATTTTGCACAAAGAAAAAATGTTATGTTTTGCTAATAAATTTGATATCCTTTTAATTGATATTTTAATTGATATTTTAATTATAATATAACTAAATGTAGCTATAAAAACTTTATTTATATTTTTTTATTTTTTATATTATCTAGGATTAATAAAAGTGTATAAATAAAATTATTAATGAAATAGTAAAAGTCATACACCAAGTCTTGATGTTTTTCCCAAAACCAAAGTAGATACTTCTTTTAGCTCATTGGCACTTAAAATTGAAAGGTTTTTTATCACATTTTCCACAGCTAATAAGCTTATACTCTAAAAAAAATACCAATATATTGCTAACAATAAAATTATTACAACTTTAAAATAATTTTATTTAAATATTTTTTTTAAAACAAACCATGTAGGTAAAAAACCATAATTCTCTTTATGTTTATGAAATTTATTTCCTTACCATCGCATTATTGATTTTTTTTTTACAATCAATACTCTTTGTTTTTTGACAATTTGTTAAAATCCAAATTTTTTATCCTTTTTATATGTTAAAAGTAGTTATTTAATATTTATCTTTTATTTATTATTTTTTCTATCCTTTATTTACTATTGAAAGAAAAAAAAAGTAAATTCAGAAAAAGGTCATTAAAAAACAGAAGAAACAACAATTTAAAAAAAAACCTTTTAAATTATTTTTGATTGCTAGAATACCATTATTATTATTATTATTATTTTTTAATTTTTTTTTTTAAACATATTCACTTTCAACTGACTGCAAGCAGCCACGAGTTTAAAGTTACTGAAAGAGAAAACATAAACTTTATAAAGTATATATTTATAAAGTAAGATAATGATTAATAAACAGCTTTAAAGAGAGCAAGTGTGAAACAGGAAAACAAGAAAAAGAGAGTGAATTCTTAAGAATTTTAAAGAAAAAATGAGTAAGAATTTTTAATGCTCTTAGAAACAGTCACAGAAAAAGGATGAGACATGAATAAATGATGAATAACACAAAAATAAATTTTAGTAGATGGCACAAAAAAAACTAGCTCTTTAGAGCAGTGCCCATTATAATATTTATAGAAAAGAAAAAAGAGAAGCAACATTATGACGATGTGAAAAATGTTTGAGGGTTGGCTGTAAGAGCAGGCCCAACTATGTTTATAATGTGATTTTGCACCTTTTCTAAAAGAGAAAGGGGATCATTCCAAGATCTGCTCTAGGGCAATGGTACTTGATTCTAATATTCACTCTTATGGCAACAGTATTCATACAAGTACTAATTAGAGATTTATTAATTTAGAGATACAAATAAAATCCAGAGTAAGAAAGTAGTAAACAAAATACAGACATACAACCTTAGGAGATGATAATTTTGAAAAGGATTTGATATATGGTTGTCAAAAATTATCAGAAGTAAAAGTTAAGCCTAAAAAGACTAAAGGTAGATGACTCATCTAACCTATTTATTACTGTTCATAAATATAGAAAGATCTAGATTGTTACAATAAGAATTAGCTGAAAAAAGTTTTATCTGACTCAAAGATCACCAGCAACTGAGAGTCCCATCCTGTAGCAGAAGTGAGATCCTATTCAAGCTCAAATGCAATCTCCTAGCAATCAGAAATCTTGACTCTTCTAATAAGTTTTTACTTGTGCTTCCTTGATAGTGGCTATGCAACTCTTCCTGTTATTTCCTAATCAGGGTAGCTCTAAATCTCAGTTTAATGGTTCTGAGGCCGGCTGGTAGTAAGGTTTCCCCAACTCTGTGGTAGCTCTCAGAGAAGTTGATTCCATCAACAGCTTCAAAATATCAGAGTTAATTTTATGCGCAATGTTGCACATATTAATTTTATGTGCAATGTTGCACATATTAATTTTATGTGCAATGTTGCACATAGATGATGTCCTTGGTAATGCTTTTGGTACGCATTGTTGGAGCCACATAAGGAGCCCTATGTTACGATATAGGGTTAATTAACAGGACCGAAAAAATCGCATATTGCTTAGGACAATGTGCTTTATCTACGAATGAGTCAAGTTTTCTTTAAACCTATATCATGCCAAAAGTAAATAAAAATATTAAACATAAAAAACCATCCCCACCACCTAACTGTTTTAATATATCTTTTACTAATATTTGTGATGTGTGAAGCAACCTTCCATCAGTTAAATCTTACCTATTGCAAAATTTATTAGACTTGCTTGCTTTTAGTAAGACTAACTTAAACTCTGCTAATCCTTCTTCTGATCTCAGCGTTGATTCTTTGATTTGCAAAGACTCCAATAGTAACATGCTTGTCTTGGGGTTATACAGAAAATATTCCTGTCATATTTTTACAAAATTGTTTTTCAGAACTCTCTTCAATTCTCTCCAAAATATTTAATAAGTGCTTGGCTGAGTCTTGTTTTCTTGCCTGCTGGAAAACAGCATCTGTTGTTCCAATATTCAAAAACTCTGGTGAACATTCTTATCACTCCAATAATCCTCCAATCAGCCTTCTTTCTGTTATTAGCAAGGTTTTTGAGTCTTTGATAAACAAGTTTCTCACACCCCATTTTGAGTCAAATAATTTACTGTCAGCAATCAATATGATTTTCAATTCTCTCTAAATATTTCATCTTTATTCATATATCTATATTTCATTTAGTAAATTCATTTATGGCTGATTTGCTTACTGCTGTGACTAAAAGATTTTATTGTGCATTAGATGGAGGCTAGGGCTATTGCTCTTGATATATCTAAAGCTTTCAACAAAGTTTAGCATGCTGGTCTTCTCCGTAAACTTGTTTTATATGGTGTATCTAGGAAAGTTTTAAAGATTATCCAATTTTTTCTTTCTGATTGCTTTACTGAAGTCATCTTTGAAGGCCAACACTTTTCTTTATTTCCAGTAACTTCTGGAGAACCTTAAGGTTCTATTATAGGTCCTGTTTTGTTTCTTATTTACATTAAAAATCTCCCTGACAAAGTTACATCTAAAGTAGCTCTTTTTGCTGGTGACTTAACTTTATACTCCTGTCTTGATAAAAAGTCTTTTCTTATTGATCGCTTAGACTCATACAACTTTTCAAGTTTTCTGTCAACTCTTTCCTTGCTCTATAACTCTATTATTTTTTTCTAGTAACTTTCAATTTAATAGTGGTTGCTTACAGCCTTGTTAGGAATGAACCAGAATAAAAAATAAAGTGAGCTTATTGAGAAGACCTGAATTCCTAACTTTATCAAAGGTTTTAAAAATGTGGAATCTCTCCACATCTTTCCAATGCACAATAAAACCTATTATCAGCTATTACTGTTAACAAATCAGCAGTAGAACCAAAAGATCAAAATCCATATTGATGATCAGAAAGTAAGTTATTAGAGTCAATATGAGAGATTAAGTGTTTTTTAATAATAGATTCAAAAAAATTTCTTATGATAGTAAGAAGACTAAATGAATGGTAGTAAAACAAGTCAGATGGCTCTCCAGAATTTTTTAAAATAGAGATAAAAGATGTAATTTTCCAGCAGGTTGGAAAAATAAGACTCTGATAAGAACTTGCTAAATAGTTTTGAAAGTGTAGATGAAGGCTCCAGCGAACAACTCTGGAAAAATATAACAGGTATGTTGTCCAGGCCACAAGCTGTAGAAGAGTTTAACCAGGAAATCACTTAAGATACAGAAGCTGGAGTTTTACAAATCAATCTGTTTGTTGGCTATATTAGGTAGGATGTGATAAAAAGTTATTAGCAAATAATTCAGCCTTTTCCTTAGGTGATGTAAAAAAATCTGAACCTTACAAGAGAGGTGGAATAACAAATTTTCCCTTATTACAGACAATGTGAAAGGCCATCCAGAAATCTAATTTTTGGATAAAATACAAGATTTTGTGACCTGAGAATAGTGAGATTTGGCAATGGTTTCTAGTAGTATTGTTATTGATATCAACTAAATTTATTAATATTCAACTTGTCAAAAGTCAAAATCAGTCAATTTTGAAAAATCAAATTGTTGATTAAATCAACTAAGGATTTCCTACTAATTGATCTAAAGTCAATACAACTTTTTAAATCTTTAATTTTTGTTAGTTCATTTAATAAAAATAGCATGTAGCATAGCTGTGGCTAGTCTACCCCCTCCCCTCCCCTCCCCTCCCCTCCCCTCCCCTCCCCTCCCCTCACACACACACACACACATACACACACACACACACACACACACACACACACACACAAACACCAATTGGGAGGCCTAACAAAGGAGCCCATTTTTAAATTTAGGAGCCATTTTGAAAAAAAAACTTTTTTTTTTCAGTAATACCTAGTGGAAAATTTTTAAAGATTTTGGGACCCTAATGGCTTTTTTTTGAGGGGGAGGGGAAACTCCGATCCACTAGCCATGGCACTGGCATGTAATATTACAAATATTACATACTGTTTATTTAATCTCTTAAAGTTTTATTTAATTAATGGCATGTTAGCAATATTTATTCCTAATTAAAAGTTTGGTTATGTATTTCATTACTCTTTTTTGTTTGTTTACTTTTATGGAATATTATTGTTCTCAGACATAAAATTTAGAGAAATAAAAAAAATAAAAAAATAAAAAAGAAATAAACGATAAGTCAGAGCCTGTGTTGATAAGGACTTGCACTGGTATTCCATTAACTATTGCATTTATAAGACCTGATTTTTGAATTGTAGAGGCTAAGATTGTGGCCCTATGTGGGACGTTACCTTGGTTATTGCCATTATTGTACTCGTAGTTTGTATATTTATAAGCAAACCTTTATAAGTGTTTTATGTTTTGGTTTTATGCTGTTGTTTTGATTTAGTTTATTACTTAAGACAGCTACCAATTATCTTTTTTATCTACAGGTATTGTACGTTCAGTTTTGGGCATTGCATTGAGACCTGTCATGTAGTCACCGAATACAAAAGTGTTTTGTAGCCTCAAATATAAGACGTTCAGGTAGGGAAAAAGTTTTAGCCTTTTCGATTGCAAGTTACATAGTTGAGACTTTAGTTAATTTCATAAAAAATCAAAAATGTATTGCAGTTGATTTTAGTTGACTTAGAAAATATGATATTCAATTTATTCAATTTAGTAGACAGTAAAATTATTATTTAGTCATAACAGCACAAGTTTCTAGCAATATTAAACAAACACTTTTTTCTGGAGAACTGTTTTGGAGATAGATGTGGAAGTAATGGTTACAATTGGAAAATGAAGCAGCACAACAAGAGGGGTTTGACTTGGAATCGTCAAAAAAAATAAGAGATTCCATCCCAGCATAAATCCAAAAAGTTACATTAGAAGCACATTAGCCAGCAAGAAGTCAAAAGATTTCTGCCCAAGGTATATTATGAAGAAAATCACAGGAAAAGTTCCAGTCAGCTTTTATGAAGTTTTAAGAGGTACAATGATAGGGAGATTCTGATGATGAAGAAAAATGAGTTAACAGTTTTAGAGAGATCAAACCATGGTCAAAAGAACCTAAAAGGTGAATGGGGAGAAACTAGGCACTGACTAAGAAGCGAAATAAGCCTTAATTCGAGTAGAGGTGGTAAATGATTTGGATTGTCTGGAAGAGTTGGAAGATTGACTGTTTGCGTTAGAGATTGAGAATGGCAATAGTTGTTAGCCTTAACACCTATAAAGACACTGAAACTAGAACCTAGCTAATCAGTGTGGTTCGCATTCAAGTCATCAACAACAGCAATATTGGCTGATGGATAAAGAGAGAGGGCTTGGTCAATTTGATCCGAAATATTATCAAAAAGAGTGCAGATGAAGGAGAGCAATAAAGAACAAAGAAAAAGGCAATAAAGTGAAGTGGTGCTGAACAAAAGCACATAAAAGAATAGTTTGCCGATTCAAACCTAGTTTTCTAACAAATGAGTAAATTGTTACGAATGTAAATGCCCAGGCCAAGCATGTGGCTATTAGAGTCTTTACAAACTAAAGGAAGATGACCATCAACGCTAAGATCACAAGATGAGATAGCCAAACTCAAATTAGTCTTACAAAGAGCAAGTAGGTTTAGTGAACTTTGCAAGAGATAATACTCAACAGAAGAAAAGTTACTTTAAAGACCAGAAATATTAGTGAATGATAGGTTTAGAGAACTTGATGATGACAATGTTTTTTGTGTTTTATAGTTTTTGGTATTTTATTCATTTTAAATTTGTTAAAGAACTTGACTCAAAACATAGGCAGTACTCAATACACTATCTAACAGCTCAAACAATTGCCATTACTATTAATATATCCTAAGCTATAATAAAGGGCTCCAAATGTGGTCTCGACAATACACAATAAAAATAGGTAGAGAAACACCACCTACTATTAATCAGAAATATTAGTACTCTGATATTTTACAGCTGTTAATGGAACCAGCCTCTCTGAGAGCTACCACAGAGTTAGGGAAACCTGACTATCAGCCGGTCTAAGAACATAAAACTAAGTTTTAGAGCTGTACCCTTATTAGGTTATAATTGAATGAGTTGCCTAGTCATAAACGCAGAGACGCAAGCAAAACCCATGCATTGAGTCAAGAAGATCCAGAATGAAAAAGGGGTGCAAGACTGGTCAACAAATAGAATCTGTTTACCTCTATAAATTGTTTACTTACTGTTAAGCAAGTATTGTTTATATTCAATTAAGCAAGAATGGTGATAAAGTATTGAAATTAAATAAGTTTTAAAATGAATCATACTGAGTTTCATCATGTTTTAAATTCATTGTAAGTCCAAAACATATTGAAAATGCACAGTTTGCATTGGTTATGAGTTTTTAAAACATAAATTTATACTTCTTCATAGCCTTTATACTTTCTTTATAAAGTCAACAAAAGTAAACAGATTATTTATATCCTGCATGGATATAAATAATCTGTAGGTAATAGAGAAAAAATTGAAAGTACTTAGACCATAAATAATACCATATTTATGAACCTATTTTTTAGACAATGACATAACAACACTGTAGCACGATGAATTAGCGCACTGCGTAATAAACTGAAGATTCACCTTGTAGGGTGGGCTTTTTTTTTTTTTTGTAATATTGTACAAAAGACCATTTGTTATCATTTTACTTACAATTTTATTATCTACTTTTTTTATTTTATTGATTTTTATTGTTTTGTATTG